CACCACCACCACCACTACCACCACTACCACCACCACTACCCACCCACTTACTACCACCACCACCACTACCACCACCACCACCACCACCACTACCACCACCACTACTACCACCACTACCACCACCACTACCCTACCACCACCACACCACCACACATCACTACCACTACCACCACCACCACCACCACCACCACCACCACCACCACCACCACCACCACCACCTACCACCACTACCACCACCACACCACACACACCACAGCCACTCACCACTACCACCACTACCACCACCACCACCACAACCACCACCATCACTACCACTACCACCACCACTACCACCACCACCACCATCACCACCACCACCACCACCACCACTACCACCACTTTGTTCATATTGAGTATTTCAAGTTATTACCATTAAGATCTTTTGAAATAACTGTTGGTACGCTAACTGTAACACCTGCCCACACTTCAAAGTGGGCACCTGGAGATAGAAGGGGTGTACAGCTATATACTGTTACATCCCTACGTTCCCACAACAACAACAACAATGGCTTCGTGGTTGATCCAAGACTCTAGTGTGTGCGTGTACGACTGTACGTATATGTTTGTGTGTGTGTGTGTACGTATAAGTTTGTGTGTGTGTGTGTGTGTGTGTGTGGAAGTATGTGTATGTCTTTGTATGTGTATGGCTATGTGTGTGTGTGTGTGTGTTTGTATTTATATGCGGCGACCTGTGGTTTAATGGTCAGCATGCTCGCCTCGCAAGCGAGCGGACCCGGGGTCAATCCCCGAGCAGGGTGAAACTATGGGCAAGTTTCTTTATGCCATTTACCTCTGTCTACCCAGCAGTAATAGGGAACCTGGATGTTAATCGATTTGCGGGTAATTGAATTGAAGCAGTTTATTTGGCCAGAAAAACACAGATACAGAGTGGATAATAATAACAATACTAACATGGCTGAGCCAGTTGAGAGCCTGAGCTCTCCTGTAAGGAAGTATGATGTAGCCAGTGCAGTTGGCGAGTTGTCCGGTCTTCTCAGACTATTCCTTGACACTGGGTCATGCAGCTCGTTAACTTAGGGTGTGGTTGTTTTGTTGGAGACAGCTTGTACACCTTATACAGATTCACGCCTAGGTGGCCCTTGGGCCGGCCATCGTCGTTAGACGAAGGGCAACCATTATTATTGTTATTATTATTATTATAATTGTGTGTGGAAATATGTTTCTGTATGTGTGTCTCCCCACTGTTCCCTCACACACTCTCCCGCCATAAACATTACCCATCATCCCTCAGTGTCAGCCTCCTGGAAATGACGTCACGGGGCCCTAGACCAATCAACAGAAAAATATATCGTACAAATCGAGGGAAAAATATCGTACTAGAAAATATACACTAACTCCTTTTCTGCGTCTAAACAACGACTAATTAAAACAATATTGTATATCACTCTGGTCACATATAAAAAGACCTGCAACGTCAGTATGAGCAGTCAACTTCGCTTGTCTGGCAATTACACGCTCATGGAAACTAACGCCAGCTTCGTCTTTGCTTACATTTAGGCTTTCTTAAGGTACAAACATGGTATTTTTTTTTTCTCTCCTATGATGAACAGTCAAAGGCTCTCTCTCTCTCTCTCTCTCTCTCTCTCTCTCTCTCTCTCTCTCTCTCTCTCTCTCTCTCTCTCTCTCTCTGCATTGATTAACTTTTACAATACAGTATTTTACCTCACACAAAGGAGCGTCTAGTTGATGCCTTGGCGGAAGAGAAGATAAAATTTACCTTAAAAAAATAATAAAAAAAAATATTACTAAAAAGTTACTGAAGCGTTTTTTAGTTAAGTTCCCCGTCAGCCAATTTGGAGAGTGTGAGAGTTATTGGAGAGAAGTAATCACTCGGAGAAGACAGTCTGGAGGAGGAGGTAGGGGTGTAGGAGGTAGAAAGGAGGTGTTGGAGGTAGAGGAGGAGTAGCTAGGTGGAGGAGGTAGAAAGGAGGTGTTGGAGGTAGAGGAGGTGTTGGAGGAGGAGGTGGGGGTGGATGGATATGGTGGAGGTTTTGGAGGTAGAGGAAGAAGATGTTGGAGGATAAGGAGGAAGAGGAGGAGACACCTTTTATAATTAAAGTCAGGAAGTGAGAAGAATAAATGGGAGAGAGAGAAAGTGAGAGAGAGGAACGGGAAGAGGAGGGAGAGGAGGGAGAAATAACTAGAAAAGGATAGAATAAATGTCGGAATAGAAGATGAGACGGAGGATTGTAATGAGGTAGAAAGATAGAGAGAGGTGACAACAATAATTCTGAACCTTTTCTGAACACACACACACACACACACACGGGTTCCAGTAAGACTGACCCTCTTTAAGGGCTGTGTGTGTGTGTGTGTGTCTAATGAGGTGGAAACATTCACGTCTCCCAAAACTGTTAGAGACAACAGCCAAATTTCCTCCACCGTCCAGCTGTCGACACACACTACACACACACACACACACACACACACACACACACACACTCACACACACACACACACACTCTCTCTCTCTCTCTCACATACACACACACACACACACACAAGAATCCAAGGCAGTGATCGGAAAATGCCCTCAGAATGTTGTGTGTTTATAGAGTTCGTCAGCCTCTTGAGTGTATCTGAAGTGGCTTGAGAGGCTGTGTGGAGGAGGAGTAGGATCTGATCTTCCTCCTGGTGCTGTGAAAGAGAGACTGTCACCCTCTAGTGTTGGTGACCGAGAAAAACTTACCACTAACGCCCCTGAGTGAGCATAAACACTGACCAAGATGGACCCGTGTCTTAGGCCCCTGAGTGAGCATAAACACTGACCAAGATGGACCCTTGTTTTTGGCCCCTGAGTGAGCATAAACACTGACCAAGATGGACGCTTGTTTTAGGCCCCTGAGTGAGCATAAACACTGAGCCAAAGATGGAGGCCCGTGTTTAGGCCCTAATTGAGCATAAACACTGACAAGATGGACTCGTGTTTAGGCCCCTGGTGAGCATAAACACTGACCAAGATGGACCCGTGTTTTAGGCCCTAGTGAGCATAAACACTGACCAAGATGGACCCGTGTTTTAGGCCCCTGAGTGAGCATAACATAAACTCGCACATGAAAATATAAAGTAAATCGCGAGATATAGAAGTGGATTCAGTATTTTAAGTCTTTGAATATAATATAAATTCTCCTTTAATTCTTTTGGCGTGTTAATTCCTAATTCTGAGCCTGAAGGTATTTAATAACTCCCGACAGATGTCATTTCTCACTTAACCTGGGAATTTATCACCTACTAACTTAATCATATTTCATAATCTAATTTTCCTCCACCTAATAAATTCTCAGTGCCAAGCGTGGAGGTATTTTTCTGAAGCCACCACAGCCGGGTATTATGTCAGAATTTATTTTATATATTTTGGTTAATTCTCCTTTTAGACAGACAGAGAGACAGACTTAAAACTTGAGAGAATAGAGAGAGAGAGAGAGAGAGAGAGAGAGAGAGAGAGAGAGAGAGAGAGAGAGAGAGAGAGAGAGAGAGCCTGGTGTCTTGTCTCAGAGGTCCATACTGATTGGTGCTGACAAAAAGCTATTTATTTATTTTTTATATTTTTTTTTATATTACCCGGTCGTGACGCACAGGTATATGAACTGTCAGGCCAGGTGTAATCCAAAGACCTCACGGCGACGCTTATGAGGACGCCAAATGAGAGGTCTTACTGTGAACTAAGACTTAACTGGGGTCTTAAATATGACAGAATATGACTCGAAAGTTTTTACTCTGATTCCGTGATATTATTTTCGACTATTAACGTGGAGGGGGGATGAGGGGGAGGGGGGATGGGGGAGTGGTAGGGGGGGGAGGGGGTGGGGGGGAGAAGTTAAATCCAGAGGTAGTAAAGGGTAAGGAACTGGACCGACCCTCTCCCTTTCTACCCTCCCTCCTTCCTCCTTCACTCTCTCCACCCCCCAGTTTATATGCCTTTAAAAGCTATCGAGGTTGGAGGGAGGGGGGGGGGGTGGCAGGTGGCTCTAGTGTACGTGTCAGGTAATTATCGTAACCTTGGCAACCTTCAGTAACTTTATACATTAAAAGAACATTCACGTACGTCAGTCCCTGGTTCATTATACCGGGGTTATATGTGTGTGTGCCTTTATGAACACGGAAGTAATAACAATAACAACCATAACAACAATAACAATAACAACAACAATAACAATAACAACAACAACAACAACCACAACAACAACAATAACCACAACAACAACAATAATAATAATAATAATCGTTGTATTTATTAATACTACATCAGGTTTACACAAGGAATATTTACGTAAGTCCAAGAAAGAGAGAGAGAGAGAGAGAGAGAGAGAGAGAGAGAGAGAGAGAGAGAGATTATTCTGAACCTGCTAAATTTTTTCTAAACCCTTACTACCGTGTCATGTAAGAACGGAATTATAACCAGAATAACAAACTGACTTTCTTATTATTTCTCTGAGGCAAAACTTTGATTATTATTATTATTTCAGTTTTATTTTTTTCGCGTTGTTGAAGAATATTATGATTATTCTTTTCATTATTACTGTATAAATGTGTATAAATGTGTATGAATGTGTATGAATGTGTATAAATGTGTATGAATGTGTGTGAATGTGTATAAATGTGTATGAATGTGTATGAATGTGTATAAATGTGTATGAATGTGTATGAATGTGTATGAATGTGTATAAATGTGTATAAATGTGTGTAAATCAGAATACGTCCTCATTAGCATATACTTAAAATGTTCTATAGAAGTAACTTTTTTTTTTTTTAGTTATGTTGAGAAAATATTGGGTTTTTATTGGTTTAAATATTATTGGTTTTTATATTACGTCAGGTTAGGTTAGGTTAGGTTAGGTTAGGTTACGTCAGGTTAGGTTACGTCAGGTTAGGTTAGGTTAGGTTAGGTTAGGTTACGTCAGGTTAGGTTAGGTTATATAATTTTATATAACTTTACCTGTGTTGTTGTTCCCGACAGGTGGATGTGGCTCCCCTAGCGTCGCCCAGGTAAGTACCAGGTGTGTGTGTGTGTGTGTGTGTGTGTGTATGTGGTAAACTAATGGAGGTACTGAGGAGTATAACTGCCTGGGGGTACATCAAAGATACTGTAAGGTGAGGGGGGGAGGGATTACAAAACTCCATTGTCCGTCCTCACCTTACCCTCTTTGATGTTCTGGTCGGGAGAGGGAGAGAGGAGGGAGGGGGGGAAAGGAGGGGAAAGATGAGGAAGAGAGGGAGGGGGAAGAATCGATGAGGGAGGGAGGATGATATGAGGGACAGGGGAAGGAACAGAGAGGGGGAGAAGGAGGAAAGGAGAAGGAAGGATCGGGGAGGGAAGGAAGGAGGAGGTATATAGAAGATGAGACGTTGAAGAGAGTGTAAGAGTCATAGGAAGGAAAGAGAGAGAGAGAGAGAGAGAGAGAGAGAGAGAGAGAGAGAGAGAGAGAGAGAGAGAGAGAGAGAGAGAGAGGAGAGGAGAGAGGGTGCCCACTTCTTCTTCTTTCTACCTCCTGTTCTCCTTCATTTCTGTCTTCCTCCACTACTGCTGCCCTCCTCCCTCCTTGCTCACTTCTCCTCAACCAACTAACTTTCATTTCAAATATTTCTTCACCCCAATTTCCTCTTTAATCTCCACCAACCATCTTTTTTTTCCCTCTTTTTCTTTTTCTCTGCTCCATTTATTATCTAGGACACACCTGATTTTCTCTCTCTCTCTCTCACAGCGTCTCATCACCTGTCATTATTTCACCTGTCGCCTCATTGTAGTGTGTGTGTGTGTGTGTGACTCAGGGAGACGTATCTGCCCTGCCCTGAATTCTTCCTCCTTCTTCCTCTTCCTCCTCTTCCTCCTCCTCCTCCTTCCTCTCCTTTCATTCTATCTCTCCTCCCTCCTTCTTCTCCTCTATCATCCTGCTCCTCCTCCATTCACCTCATTTACATAATCTAGAGTTAACTATTTTAATATATACTAATAGATACCGAGTCCTATTTGCTCTACGGTATATCAACGTTATAACTGATGCTTAGACTTTGTTTACCTTTTGACATCACACGAGGGAGGTGATGGAAGGAGGGAGGAGGAGAGAGGGAGGGAGAGAGGGAGGGAGGGATGGAGGGAGAGAGGAGGGAGGAGAGGAGAGGGAGGGAGAGAGGAGGGAGGGATGGAGGTTGAGAAGGCGGTAAAGGAAGAAGGTGGACGCTGCCATCTGAGAAAAGATCAGAAATCTTGTGTCATTTTCCTGGTAAATGAATCCGTTGTGGAGCGAGGCGTCAGGCTGCCAGGGTGGTGTGTGTTACGGTGGTCTCATTATACATTATACATGGTGGTGTGTGTTACGGTGGTCTCATTATGCATTATACATGGTGGTATGTATTCAATACATGGTAGTTGTGTTACGGTGGGCTCTACATTATACATGGTAATGTGCGGTGGTCTCATTATACTTTATACATGGTAGTTGTGTTACGGTGGTCTCATTATACATTATACATGGTGGTAGTTGTACAGGTGGTCTCATTATACATTATACATGGTGATGTGTGTTACGGTGGGCTGCTTATACATGGTGGTGTGTGTGTTACGGTGGGCTCATTATACATTATACATGGTAGTGTGTGTTACGGTGGTCTCATTACATTATATGGTGGTGTGTTACGGTGGTCTCATTATACATTATACATGGTGGTGTGTGTTACGTGGTCTCATTATACATGGTAGTTGTGTATGTGCTCATTATACATTATACATGGTAGTGTGTGTGTTACGGTGGTCTATTATACATTATACATGGTAGTGTGTGTTATGTTGGTCTCATTATACAATATACATGATCACGGTGTGTGTTACGGTGGGCTATTATACATTATACATGGTAGTTGTGTTACGGTGGTCTCATTATACATTATACATGATGGAAGTGTGTGTTACGGTGGTCTCATTATACATTATACATGGTAGTTGTGTTACGGTGGTCTCATTATACATTATACATGATGGTGTGTGTGTTACGGTGGGCTCATTATACATTATACATGGTGGTGTGTGTTACGGTGGGCTCATATTATACATTATACATGGTAGTTGTGTTACGGTGGTCTCATTATACATTATACATGATGGTGGTGTGTTACGGTGGTCTCATTATACATTATACATGGTGATGTGTGTTACGGTGGACTATTATACATGGTAGTGTGTGTTATGGTGGTCTCATTATTCATTATACATGATGGTGTGTTACGGTGGTCTCATTATACATTATACATGGTGATGTGTGTTACGGTGGACTCATTATGCATTATACACGGTGGTGTGTGTTACGGTGGTCTCATTACATTATACATGGTAGTGTGTGTTACTCTGGGCTCATTATACATTATACATGATGGTGATGTGTGTTACGGTGGGCTCATTATACATTATACATGGTAGTGTGTGTGTTATGGTGGTCTCATTATACATGATGGTGGTGTGTGTTACGGTGGGCTCATTATACATAATACATGATGGTGGTGTGTGTTACGGTGGGCTCATTATACATGATGGTGATGGTGGATTATATTATACATGGTGGTGTGTGTTACGGTGGGCTCATTTACATGATGGTGATGGTGGTACGGTGGGCTCATTATACATTATACACGCACCATACAGGCCACTATATGCTTCGGAGATCAGATGATGAGGCCATGTGTGTGTGTGTGTGTCGTATCCTCAGGTGATGTGAAACTCTACGGTAATGTCAAGCCATGTTTTTCTCTCTTGACAATCCCTCACAACACGAAGGTGGAATGTGTGGGGTAGGGTGAGGGAAAGGGGGTTCATGTAGGTATGTTCAGCGTCGTTCAGTTGACCTCGTGCGCTACTGAGGTGATCTGCGTCCAATAGTTGTTAAAGTAGTTTGGAGGCAGCCAACTACGGCCCTCTGACGTGGTTATTCTTTTCTGTGTAGCCACATACCTTCAGCCTGTAGCTATGTGGTAGCGTGTGGTGGTGTTTGGTGATGGGTGATGATGTGTGGTGATGTGTGGTGATGTGTAGTAGCTTAGGTGTTTCCCGTAAGGTTCCTCGACCTCCTCTCACCCTTGAGTGGTTTGTGATTGTTGACACACTCAGATTAATCTTTCTAGGGTGTCAACGTGTGCCTGATTGGTCACACTGATTTGCCTCTCATCAGCAAGGCCTGCAGGGCGGTGATTGGCTGGCGTTACGTCGGTGATATCTATTCTTGGAATCTTATTGGCTGTTATCATGGGCTTGTCAACACGGTCTTCGATTTGATTAGCTGATTTCCTTTTGACGGTGAACGAGGCCTTGGCTCTGATTGGTGTTGTTATTGTTGTATAATAATAGAAAGTTACTTGATACTTTTCATGGACAGGTGTGCGGACAGGTGTGTGGACAGGTGAGTCGACAGGTGTCATAACCTTCACCTGTTTCATTACTCAAAACTCCTCCACCTTACTCAATGTTATTCTTCCTCTCCCTCCCTCCTCCTCCTCCCTCCCTCCCTCCCCTCCTCCTCCTCCCTCCCTCCCTCCTCCCTCCCTCCCTCCCTCCCTCCTCCCCCTCCCTCCCTCCCTCCCTCCCTCCCTCCCTCCTTCCTTCCCTCCCTCCCTATCTAGTGAGACAAAAGTGGAACTGGAGCAAAGAAACTGACGGACAGATAGACAGATATAAAGACAGACAGATAGAGACAGACATTCAGACAAACAGACAGACAGAAACTCACTGATCTTGTCTGTTTATGTCTGTACACTCGTTTAATACTTGAATGAGTTGTGTATTTCACTAAGAGGGATATTGCAATAGTTCTCTTTCTCATTAACTAGAATCTCTCTCTCATCTTTACACCATTATTTCCTCCTTTAAAAATCACTTCAGAAAAGGTCACACACAGACTGTCAGTTGCAACAGTCAACTCAATGTACACCAGTTAACTGTTTGCCTGACTCACTCACTCACTCACTCACTCACTCACTCACTCACTCACTCACCCCACAGATCTATTGTGACAGAAGTATTGTGCATTGGTGTATAATTTCTCGTGTTGATTATTTTACTTCTTAGTTAATTTCTGGTTATGTTTTGCTTTCTTCTTAACTGATTTGATTTTCATTGTTCGGCTGTGATGTAGGATGTTGTTGTTGTTGTTGGTTGTTGTTTTTGTTGTTATTGTTATTGCTGTTTTTGTTTTTTGTGTTTTATTATTATTATTATTAGTATTAGTATTATTGTTATTGTTGTTGTTGTTGTTGTTATAATGTGTTTGGTTGTGGTGATGGTGAGATATTCTGTTAGTTTCTGTACTTCATTTACGGTACAACTTGTGAAATGAAACTGTATATCACTTTATCAGTGTGATGGAATATTCTCTTGTTGAAGTGTTTATTGTGTGTGTGTGTGTGCTAATGGAACACACACACACACACACACACACACACACACACACACACACACACGATCATATTGTCCTCGAAATTACGGAAACTACAAGATGCTGTTACCGGGGGAATCAGGTTACCTCCTCCCTTCTCCCTCCCTCCCCTTCCTTCCTTCCCCCCCCTACCCTCCCGCAGGAAGTGAGTAGGTGGCCTAGGACGTCAGCAGGTGGCCTAGGACGTCAGCAAGTGGGTTAGGACGTCAGCAGGTGGGTTAGGACATCAGCAGGTGGGTTAGGACGTCGTAGTAAGGTCAAGAGGTGGGTTAGGACGGCAGATGATGTCCAAGAGATGGGTTAGGATGTCAGAAAGTGAGGTCAGGAGGTGGGTTAGGACAGCAGGTGATGTCAGGAGGTGGGTTAGGACAGCAGGTGATGTCAGGAGGTGGGTTTGGACAGCAGGTGATGTCAGGAGGTGGGTTAGGACAGCAAGTGGGGGTCAGGAGGTGGTTTCGGACGTCAGCAAGTGAGGTCAGGTGGTTAGGACGTCAGCAGGTGAGGTCAGGAGGTGGGTTAAGACATCAAGAGGTGGGACTAACACATCCAGACCAGAGAGAGAAGAGGTAG